ATATTACTAATTTGCTCCTCTGCTTTGTCCGTCCTCGTCATGGCATCCATTCAGGTTTCCATATCGGTTATAGCATTTTTAATTTTGGCCTGACTAGATTTTAGTTATTTTATTTCTGGAGAAAGGGACTGTCTTGTATCTTCCATGTTCTTTTTTCAAGCCCAGCTAGTATCCTTACAATTTATTTAAATTCTAGTTCAGACATCTAACTTACGTGTGTTGATTAAATACCTCACCATGAGTTCTACCTCTTGTTCTTTCTTTTGGTGTGAATTCACTGTCTTGTCATTTTGTTCAGGATAGAAACGAAGAAAAGAAAAATGAAGAAAAAAACCCCACAAAAACCCCCAAAGAACAAAGAAAAAACAAACAAGCAAATGAACAAAACTAGATTGTGGGTATGTTTTGGTCTGCTTGTTAAAATAATCTAGATCCAAAAAAAAATAAAATAAAGTAAAAAACTACAAGTAAGGAAACCACAAAGTTAAATAAAATATTAAAAAAATAAAAACATATATGAATAAATAATGAAAACCATAATAATAAAAAGTCTATAAAGTAATTGAAAATATAAGAAAATAAATAAAAAGAATAAAAAAAGAATAAAAGTAAAACGGAAGTCAGATCTTATTTCCACTAGAGCTGAAGATTTGCAGTGCTATCATCATGGACTTGGTGCAGGGAGTTATGTGCGCTGGTCTTCTGGGGAAGAGGCCTGCTGTGCTGGTTCTCAGGCTGGCTTGTTTGAGTGGAAATCCTCACCTGGGGTGCAGGGGGCAGGGCTTGGTGTAAGTGGATCTTGCCCCCACTAGGTGGCACTGTCTTGCTCCCTGTAGGCGCTCTTCCTTGATGGGTGGGATGAACATCACTGTGCCCACCTTCTAGCCCCGAGATGAAAGTTTGCAAGCCCCACTCTTCAGGGAACCTCAAAGAAGAGCAATCAATCGCCCCTCTTGTGTCCCCGGTTTCCATCAAAACCCCAAGTTCACCCAGCTTGTGTTCAAGCTTTTTTTTTTTTATCTCAGGTGCAACACTGAGTTTCAAAACTCCACATTGTAGGGATTCCTGTGGCATGGACGAGCACTGCTCCTCTGGGGGAGGGTCTTGCCATGCTTTTGCTGCCCGGCTTAGGAAAGAAGTTGCACAACTGCACAGCAGTTCAGAGCTTATATCAAAACAGAGCAGAAAGCTGGTACCCGAGTCTGACTCCTATGCCTGGGAACAGTGCAGCACATTGGTGTCACGTGTTCTTCTTGCGACCCAGGAGACCCTCAGACCACGTTGTCATTCCTGGGATTCCGCCCTGGCACCTGAGCACTTTTAGGCCAGGCTCATACCTCACGGTAGCAGACTTCAAAAAGTTCTGCTGCTTATACTACTTAGCAGTAGCCTCTGAGTGCAGCCCCTCCCCCTCTGCTGTATCTGCAGCTATGTCTCTCCCAAGTCAACTCTCTCCTCCTCCTACCTTCCAGAAGGTGGTCGCTTTTCTACTTGTAGTCTTACGGTTTTTGTTCTCTCAGACCTCCCATTGATTTCTGGGATGTTCAGGATGATTTGGTAACTATGTAGCTGTGTTTGAGGGACCAGACAAGCTTGGGTCTCCCTACTCCTCCTCTATCTTAACTCTCCCTCCTTCACAGTCTTTCCCTTTTTCACCCTCAGCCCCTGGTAACCACTGATAGTTTTTCTCCCTGTGGCTTCTTTTCCACGTATGTAAATGCAATCTACAGCATATGACCTCTGAGCCTGGCTTCTTTCATTAAACCTAATGCATTTGAAATTTATCCACGCTATTCTAATTTTCTGTAACTCCTTCCTTTTCATTGCTGAATAGTACTCATTGTATGGAGGCATTGTAGAACTCTTCAGAATACTTCTTCATATTCCTAGGTGACTGTAGTTTATTTAAATCTATCCACACATTTCAAACTTTTTAACACATGTTGGTAATCCCCTTTGTCAATCAAATTAGCTTATGATGCTGACTACTCATTTTTTTAAAAAGTTTTATCTTTTTGTTCAGACTTTCGAAAATATTAAGTAAGCCCTACCGTATGCCAAACATTTTTCTAGGTGTTGAAGATACAATGCTTAAAATGAATACAAAGTGACAAAAACAAAAAGCACATATTGCCTGTGGACTTTCCTTGGTAAGGAGGTAGAGATAAAAATATATGTGTAATATAATGTCAGGTATTAATTGAAGTTTTAAAAGTATTTTTAAACAATTGATGGAGATTTCATATTATCAAGAAATTCACTTATAAATTTAATGCAGTCCCTGTGGAAATCCCAGCAGACTTTTTGGGGGGTGGAAATTGACCAGGTGATTCTACAATTTATATGGAAATGCTAAGGGCCTAAAACAGCCTAAACAGTTTGGAAAAATGATAAAGCTGGAAAACTTGCACTACTCGGTTCAAAATTTGCATCTCCGACAAGGGCACAGCATTGAAAGTCCAGAAACGAAATTTTATTTTTTACCATGAATTGATTTTCGACAAAGCCTCCGAGACAATTCAGTGGGGAAAAGATCATCTTTTTCTTTGGTGCCGGGACAGATGGATAGCCACATGAAAATCCAAAAATCAAACAAACAAAAAAACTTACGTCACAGTAGACAACAATGAACTAAAAATTGATCCAAACGTAAGAACCAACCCTTAAAGTTTCTCAAGGAAAACAGTAGAAAACTTTCACGATCTCTTAAGTACGACACCGAAAGCATGATCCATACAAAAAAACCTGAACTTCTTAGAAGTCGTCAAAATTAAAATATTTTGCTCTTCAAAAGCCACTGTTGAAAGAATGAAAGACAAGCCGGAAACTTGGAGAAAATATTTACACATTGCACATCTGGTAAAGAACATAGATACAACGTGGTAAAAAGGCAAACATTTTTTGAAACAGGCAAAAGATTTGAATGGACATTTTTACTAAAGAAAATACAAGAGTGGCAATGGAGCACATGAAAGCACATTCAACATCATTAGTCATTAGGGAAAAGTGGATTGAAGCCACAGTAAGTCAGCACTTCACACCATTAGGAGGACTATAATAAAAAAAAGACACGTGTTGGCAAGCATGTAGAATCAAGTGTAAGCGTCCTCCACCATGGCAAGAATGCAAAATGGTACAGACTCTTTGGAAAGCAGTTTGTCAGCTTAGAAAATCTTAAAGCTAAACTTAGGTATGACCCAGCACTTTCATTCTTGTCCTAGGAATCCACCCCCTAAAATGAAAACAGATGTCCGCACGAAGACCAGAACATGAATATTCATAGCAGTGTTATTTGTAACTGCCCCAAACTGCAGAGGATCCAAATGTCCATGAACTGGTAAATGGATAATCAAAATGTGGTACAACCATTCCACGGAAGGAAAAGGAACAGAATACCAATATGTACCACAGCATGGATGAACTCCAAAACCAATGTGCTAATGTTACTGGACAGAACCGGTTCTGACCTCAGGCTCCGCTGCTCTCTGCTCGAAAATCAACACTCGAGAGAGGAGTGATGGTGGGAAAAGAGAGGTCGCTTTACTCAGGAAGCCGGCAACCTGGGAAGAGGGCAGGCTAATGTCTCCAAGGCCATCTTCCCCGTCCAGGCGAAGCGGGTGGGTTTTTAAGGGGAAAGTGTGGGGAATGGGGAGGGCGCCGCGTGCAGGAGAAGCGGTGCCCAGGCGGTGGGTTCTGTGTCGCCGTGACCCTGGATGGACCTGCTGGCATCCGTGGCAGGTGTTTTCGAGTGTGGTCAGGCCGTATCGTCCTTCCCCCTCAAGGTCAGTGGTCTGCAAACCCAAGACAAGTAGGTTGGTTCTGCCGCAGACCAAGGACTCGGGTCAGCCAACAGGAGCACCTGAGCTCGAGGCCAGCTCCCTGCGAAGGCCGTTGGGAGTGCTGTCACACTAAGCGAAAAAGCCAGATTGAAAGACAACATAGTATGTGATTCCATTTATATGATATGTCCAGAAAACATAAATTTAGAGGGACAAAAAGCCCATAGGTGGCTATGTAGAGCCAGCAATGAGAGAACATTAGCTGCAAATCTGGTGATTGCTTCACAATTCTCAAAGTTGACTGAAAATCATTCAATTGACCCTTGTAATGTATGAACTTCATGGTATATAAACTATGTCCCCATAAAGCTGTTTAAAAAGTGATTAAGAAATCTTGTAGTTGTGAAATTTAGTGTTTCTATGGTTTAAATTCACCCTATGCAGGGTGCCTGGGTGGCTCAGTCGGTTAAGCGTCCAACTTCAGCTCAGGTCACGATCTTGTGGCTTGTGAGTTCGAGCCCCACGTCGGGCTCTGTGCTGACAGCTCAGAGTCTGGAACCTGCTTCTGATTCTGTCTCCCTCTCTCTCTGCTCCTCCCCTGTTTTCTCTCTCTCTCTCTCTCTCTGACTCAAAAATTAATAAACATTAAAAACATTTTTTTTTAATTCACCCTATGCAGTCCTCAGTCTCTTACTGGCTCCTTTTTCTTTTTTGGCTCTTTTCTGTGTTTTGGTCTCTGATTTTGTTCTATATGTTTTTTTCAACGATTTTATCCTCTCCCATAGACTCAACTATCACCTCAAACCTCACAGTACTCTCTATCTCCAACCCCAAGGCACTTCCCCAAATCCTAAATTGGTACTTCCAAATGCCTCTTGAACGAATCCAACTGTATATTCCACAGACACTCCGATCTTAACTCATTTAATATGGTCTTCATCATCACCTCACCTTCTCCATCAATCCTATATTCCCTTTTATAAAATTCATGAATTATTCTTCTAGTCTCTATATGAAATATAGATTCTTCCTAACACCAGTTTAGGTAAACTGTGGTGTAGTTTGGGTAAGAACCCAAAAGGTGACTTTTTAAAATTTATTCAAGTATAATTTCTTAGCCAGTAATTAAAGCTGGGTGCCCCTTGGCTTCTGTTTTCATTAAATAACAATAGTAGCTATTAAGCTGAATTTCAGTGTCTACGGTGTGTAGCTCTAATCCCCCTCCTCTCTTGCCCCTAGACTCAGTGGTGAATAAAATAATTTCCCTGTGCACACGGAAAGTAAGTGTGAGCTGATAGGATCTTACTCCCGATACCAACAAATGCAGGACACTCCATCCTGGAGTAGACAATAATAAGCGTGTCTGAAATTTGGATGTTTTCCTCACACGGTGGAGAAATCACTGATTAACCAAGGTGTATGGGTCTTTATCCATCCCAGAAAATGTTTGCAATTTGATGATTGAAAATGACACGCTGTAATGTTTCAACTCCCTTTTCTAGTTAACCAGTTAAATGAAGCATGTTTTCTTGCCTACAGATACTTTAAATTCCCTCTCCCATGAATTGCTTTCTCATACAGTTGCTATTTTGTATGTGGTGCCTACTGTCTTTTCTCTTGAATTCATAGGAGCCCTTGATTGCACTGAGGTCCCGCCCTCCTGGGACCAGCTGGGCAGGAGGCCAAGAGGGGTGGGGTCAGGACCAGATGTGGGGAGGAGTCCAGGCCTGAGTCAGGGCTCAGTGGGGTAGGGTCTGGGCAGGATTAGGGCCCAGGATTGGGGGAGGGCGGTCAGGGGCAGGGCAGGGCCTAGGATAGGAGCGGCCAGGGATTGGCTGGCCTGGGGTCAGGGGTGGGGGGTCAGGTCGGGTCAGGCTGGGGTCAGCGGCCCCCGGTCATGGGAGAGGAGGGGCCGAGCCCCCGTGGGCGAGGCTGGCTGGCGGCCCTGCTCCGGCTGCTGCTGCTGCTAGCCACGGGCATAGGAGGATCCTGGCCAGTGGTCGCCCGCGTCCCTGCTCCAGCTCCAGTGGAGGCAGCGACTGAGGAGCCCGGGCGGCAGGCGGGTGGCGCGCAGCGGTTGGCGCTAGGAGCAGGTGCGTTGGGCTGAGGCGTGTGGGCGGAGGGGAGGCTCCAGCTCCGGGAGGGGCTGGGGCGCGGCCACGGCCTTTTCTTCTCTCCGCCCCCTCGCAGGCCCCACTGTGGACCCACCTGGAGCCGAGAGGGTGGCAGGGCCTGACCCTGGGATGGGGGCTGGGGGTGGGGGGAGGACTGCTGAGTGAGGGGGCCCTCCTGGGCACACCCCTGCCCCTCCCCCGGTGTGAACCCCAGAACCGGGGCGTTCCTCACTAGACTGCTCCCTCTTCCTTAAGAAACAGCGTCCTGAGTCAGGGGAGTGGCCCTCCCGGGGTCACCCAGCACCACAGACTCCTTCCTGCCGTGAACCTCCCTCCTTGAGAGGCGGGGTGAGGTGGAGGGCACACAGGAAGCCCCCTGGAAGCATCACGGCCAGCAGGTCGGGCTAGGAACCCCCGAGACCTTCAGTTCTTCCATCTGCAGAGTGGGCGAGGAGGCGGAGGCTGCCAGTTGAAGGGAACACTGGCCCAGCCCCCCGCAGGTGCATTCAGGGACATCTGTCTCCCTGGGGATGCTGCTGTGGCCTCTCTTGGTCCTCCGTGCCTGGCCTCACCAGACCCCTGGGCCCTCATCCTGACCACAGGGTTTGCCGGCCTGTGCTCGGCTCTACTGTCCTCGACAGCAGCTGATGAAGGCAGGGTCCGGGCGGCCCTGGCATTTTGGCCAGGCCCCTTGACCCTTGGCCTTGGTTTTTGCATCTGTGAAGCGGAGGAAGGCCTCTGTGGTAGCGTCACTTGGGGTCACCGGTGTCTCTATCGTAGACACGGCAGGGGTGTGTCTCCACAGTGTGCGGGAGGCCCAAGGTGACGGGGAAGATCTACGGTGGCCAGGATGTGCTGGCCGGCCAGTGGCCTTGGCAGGCCAGCCTGCTGCACCAGCACACACACATCTGCGGAGCTGTCCTCATCGACTCCCTCTGGCTGGTGTCCACCGCCCACTGCTTTCTCAAGTGAGTCCCCCCTCCTGGGTGCCAGCAGAGGGGCCAGTGGGGCAGCGGGATGCAAGGGGAAGAGGAGAAAAGGGGTGATGGGTGCCCAATGCGCTGGGCTTTGCTCTGGAGCCGCGTGTAGCCTCCAGACACGCGTCATTCCTGCCTTTGACCGGTGTCCCCTCCACCTGCATGTGCTCCCCACTCACCCCCTCTGTCCTCAGCCCCTGTGCCTGTCCCCCAGCACAGATTGGCAGTGTCTGTCCTGGCTGCCACGCGGTGTGGGCAGGCGTTCTGCCTCCTCAGATCAGGGCTTGTCCTCCGTGTCCCCACACTCCTCGGTGGCAGACTGTAGGCAGGGACCTGGGACTACACACACAGCCGGCAGCCGGGTGATTTTTCTTATCATTTTTGCAGAACTGTGTGCCCAGGAGGAGGCGTGGCTGCCGGCACCCATATGCCAGGCTGCCTGGGTGGCAGGTGGGCTCCTCGACCTTGGAGGGTGCCTGGCTCGGCACTCAGCTTCTGAATAGATGAGAAGGGGTCTCAAGGGTGCAGCTGGGCATCACAGCCCAGGCCAGGGAGCTAGAGTTCGGGCACTGACTGGCTTTAAGGGCCCAGAGCCCTGTCAGCACCTACCCTGTTCCACACATTAGCCCCTCTGTGCCATGGCGGGGGGTGTCAGTCCAGCGTGGGTGAGACGGGAGGGCCCCATGGACAAGAAGGGAGGTCAGGAGAGGTGCCAGCTGGCATGGGTGGAGCCAGAAGGGAAGGGTTTGGGCACCGAGCGGGGGTAGGACTTTCCACCCGATGGCTGGCAGTGCCGGATGTTTCATCACTCATGTTCCGGGGACAAGGCTCCATTTCCTGCACTCGTCCGCTCATTTAACACATCTTTTGTGGATACTTATGAACAGGTGTGCACACAGCCCTCAGGCAGGAAGGTGTTTACAGGAAGAAGGGGCAGGAAAGATGTGGGGCCAAAGTTGGGCCGTGGGGAGCTTTGGGAAGGGTCAGGCCGGAGCTAGGCTTGAGCCAGGGTTCCTCTGTATAAGGTGGAAGGCCTTGATGCGAGGCCCCACCAAGGAGCCCTGAGCACAAGGAGTCCCCACGCTTCCAATTCAAGATGTGACAGGGAAGCCACACGTCTCACGTCGGGGACAGGAGATCAGGCAGCCCCAAGATGGTTGGGAAGAGGAGTCTCGCGCAGGCAGGGGCAGGTAGATGAGGGGCAGGGAGAGGGAGCTGACCCCGGGCTCGGAGACAGTGACGATGAGCTGTTCCCTGCCAGCAAATCCCAAGCCCCAGCAGACTACCAGGTTCTGTTGGGAAGCACACAGCTGTACCAGCACGGCCAGCACACCCGGGAGATGTCTGTGAGCCGGATCATCGTGCACCCAGACTTTGAGAAGCTGCACCCCTTCGGGAGTGACATAACCATGCTGCAGCTGCACGTGCCTGTGAACTTCACCTCCTACATCGCCCCCGCCTGCCTCCCGAGCCCCGGCATGCAGCTGTCCAGCAACTTGTCCTGCTGGATAACCGGCTGGGGGATGCTCAGCGAGCACCGTGAGGGCGTGTGGGAGAGGCGGGGAGGGGCGGGGGTGAGAGAGGGAGGAAAGACGGGAGGCCAGGTTCAGCCCTAGGGGCCCCCCTGGCAAGCGGGCACGGGACCTTGAGCCTCTGTGCCTCATTTCTAGAGGACTGGACCGTTTTAGTTCTAGTTCTGAAAAGTGTCTGATTCTAAAGCTTTGGAGTTCCTTAAGTCTGAGGGACTGTCCCAACCATAGGGCAACCTGGCCCCCAGCACTCTCTCTCTGTCTCTGTGTCTCTCTCTGTCTCTCACGCACGTGCACACACACGCAGGCACAGAGGCTGGTTCTTCCTTGAGGGCGAGGACCACGTCTGACTTGTTTTAACATCCCCCCACCCCCACCCCAGGCACCTGGCACGTGCTCCGCTATTGCCTCCCTGCTCTGACGGACCATCGAGTCTTGCCTGTGCCTCCAGACTGGTCTCCCAGCGCCCACCCTATGTGTCCTGTTTAGTGTCCACACAGCTGTCTGCTCACTTTAAATCGTGAATTGTGCCGCTTCCCTGCTCAGCTCCCTGCGTGCCCTCACAGCTGTTTGGACTGTTAGAACAAGTCCAGAATCCCTGCCTTGGCGGTCAGACGCTCCTGACCTTGGCCCCAGCCCTCCCTACATCCCCTGCACACCCCCAGTCAGCCACCAGGCTCCTTCCTGCCATCCTCACCCCAGGGCCTTTGCCACGGCCGGCTTCTCCACCTGCCTCTCTGCCCACTGGTGTTTGCCTGCGGGGGCCACCCTGTCTTTACATCGATGACTCGGCCCCTCCTCTGCGGAGTTCCGCTTGCCCACGTGAGCTGAGAGGGGTTCCTCCTCCTGTTTTGTTTCCTTCACACCGCTTATCACTTCTCAAACAATCCCGTCCACGTTCCTCACTCGCCCTGTGTCCCCAACAACAATGCCCCCTGTGTCAGTGGCGTCTACAGTATGCCCAGCATGAGGACAGACGAATGGAGGGGTGAGTGCTGGTGGCTGTGTGGGGCGGTGTGGCTGGGAGAGGAGTGGCTGGTGGCTGGTGGGTATTGACGGAGGGATGGAGACAAGCATGAGAGGTGGGGTGGGTAGGCGGATGGGGGGAATCAGTGGATGGAAGGATGGGAGGAAGGGCAGTGACAGACGGGCGGACATGGTGTGTGACAGCGTAGGTGGGTGGGTCAGGGGTGGCCAAGGCCCTGAGAATGGCTGTGCTGGTGGGATTTGCCTTCTTTCTGTGCGGAGTGAGTGAGGTAGAGGGAATGGATGAGTGTGTGAACCGTTCAGGAAGTAGGAGAGGAGCCTGTTAGGGACGGATGGAAGACCGCAGCCGTGTTCGAGGCCCATCTGTGTTGAGCAAACCGCGTGTTTCGTGGTGGCCGGGGCTTCCCCACAGCGCACGCCGCAGGTCCCCTTCCTATTCACACAGAACATCTGCACTCGCCCTTCCATCTCCAGGAGGGTAAGGTGAGCCTCATTGAGAACAAGTTCTGTAACATCTTATACAGACGAAAACTTAGCAACAGCAAGACCTACTCAGTGCAGGAGGAGATGCTGTGTGCTGGTGATTTCTCGACAGGAAAGGCCACCTGCCACGTGAGTTTCTGTTCTTCCCTTGCCTGTTTGCCTCAGTTTCCCCAGCGGGCCTGTGTTGCTTCTGCTCTGTGGAGACCTGTGGGCCTTCCTGTCTCCCCGTCCCCAGCAGTGTCCCCTGGCTCACCCCTTCCTAAGCCACATGAGGGCATCTGCTGGCAGGACCTCCAAACAGCATCTGTTGTTAGCACATTTCAAGCTTTTCGCTCCAGTGTAACACACATACAGAGGCATATATGATTACTAAGAGCAGCAGGTGAATCTTCATATCCTGACACGTGTGACCGACTCCCCACCGCCCAACCCACTCTAACACCCGAGGGGGCCCCAGCCGCCACCTCTAACACCTCACGATAGCTTCTGAACTCTCCCTCCGTGGGGCTCATTTCCAGCTGGCAGCCGGTGTCTCGGCGCTCCGTGTGTGCGTTTCCTCTGCCCTGTCTGCGCTTAGGGCGCGTTCCGTCGTGTGCATTCAGTCCTGTTGTTGGTTCCGCTGTCAAGGAGTATTTTGGGAGCTTTCGAGTTTTCCATTTCATTCACTTCCAAGTGTCTCATCCGCTTTATATCCTCTTTATATTCACAGCAGCCCACGAGTAGAATCGTTGGATTATGTGGAGACCCAGCTTTGGCAGATGTTAGGGGATGTGGTGCCCCTGCCCCCACCACTTTGAGCAGCGGATGAGTTTGTATTCTTGCCAATACTTAGCGCTCTCTGTCTTTGCTCATTTTGGTGTGTGTGCATCGTGGTGTCTCACTGTGATTTAATTTGTGTTTTCCAGATGACGGATTAAGTTAAATAAATTGTCCCGTATTTGTTGTCGCCAGATATCTTCTTCAGTAAAGTTTCCCTTCTGGTTTTACCCCCGTCACTTTTCTGTTGGGCTGTCTGTCTTTTTATTTCAGGAGCTCCTTATAATTTTGTATATTCTGGGTGTGTGTCTGCCATTGGGCACAACCCAGTGGATTGTGAAGATTTCTTTCCACTCTCTGCGATGCCCCATCCTGCAGGTGGGCAAGCAGGCCCAGAGAGGGAAAGTGACCAGCCCTACATAAGGCAGCCCACGCCTGCTCTGCCAGCATCCTGACTCCAAGCCCACCCAGCCTCCAAACACACTGTCAGGCCCCAGCCTTAAGAGCTGATGTCTGTGCACCTGCCTCCTGCATGGAAGGCACCGAGGAGTGGGGGGAGGGGGGGTCTGGAGTCAGAGACACGGCTCTGCCATGTGTCCCTGCCCTGGGACCTCGGGTGGCACCTTTGAGCCTGCATGGGATTCTGAGGCCTCCTCCATGGGGTTGTTGAAAGGATGCGATAGTGGTCTGAGTGCTGTCCCCCAAATTCACGTCCATTTGGAACCTTAGAATGTAACCTTACTGGGAACTGTGTAGGGTCTTTGCAGATGTGATTAGAGTCTCAAGATGAGACCATTCTGGATTTGGAGGGACCCCAAATCCCAAGTCCTGGTGTTGCTAAAAGATCTAGGGAAAGGCACAGAGACACCTGTTCTCAGACTCTGACTCCAGAACTTTGAGGGTAAGTGTCCGCTGTGGTCATGGGTGATGGCAGCCCGAGGAAACGTGGGCAGGAGGCATGAGGTGGGCCTGCCGTGGGGAGGCCTCACTGACAGTTGCTCTCATTACTGTCCGGGGAGCTGCTGAGTCACAGCAGGAAGCTCAGCCGTCCACCTCCTGGTAGGACGTAGGCCTGGTTTCTTGGTTCCCAGGCCACAGATGATGGTCTGGACTTTCTGACCCAACCTCCTCACAGGGCTCAGCCCCTGAGTCCCCACATGGTTGTCACCAAAGATCTCCCTTCCAGCCTTGCCCCCCACCTGCCTTCTCCTGTGGAGTTTAGAGCCGATGCCCTTTGTCGGCCTGCCTGCTGGACATCCATGGTGCCCTTGACCCCACTCCCCCTCTGGGGACCCCCAGGCTGAGGACCCCACGGAGCTGGACACCCGGTAGCCTTCCAACCACCATAGCCTGTCCATGACATTCCATCTGGTCCAGTGTGGGCACGGGAAACAGCTCTAGGGAGCGGGGGACACTGCAGAATGTCTCAGGACTCAGATTGTGGGGCAGGTGGACCTGCTCTGGTCTCTGTCTGTCACTTACCGGTGCTGTGACCACAGCCAATTTCCTCACTCATGAAGTGGGGGGTGCTACCAGCCTCCCCTTCATAAGGCTGCTGTAGGGAATTCAGTGCGGTGTCTGGTCTGTGGTAACAAGTGTTGGCCTTCGTTCTCCTGCTGGGTCTGCCTCCCCTGATCGGGGCTCTGCTTGTTCCTCTGGGCCACCAGCCCTTCCTGGGGTGCAGGGGCAGAGGGCAGAGTCCACGTGATGACGGATTTAGATCTGTGGTTGTCCTCAGGTCAGTTGGGAGCACCCTGAAGTGCATTTCCAAGGCCCGCCCATGTCACCTTGATGTGTCCATAGCTCGATGCTGGTCTGGACTTTCATAGACTCATGGGCACCCCCTGCCACCTAGTGTCCTTAGACCCTGCTCAGTCACCTGCACTAACTCCCCTCTCTTTCCTAGGGCGATTCCGGGGGGCCCCTCGTCTGCAACCTCCTCAGTGCCTGGGTTCTGGTGGGGCTGGCCAGCTGGGGCTTGGACTGCCGGCACCCTATCTACCCCAGCGTCTTCACCAGGGTTGACTACTTCACCGACTGGATCGACAAGATCCAGAGGCTCACACCTCCCCCTGATCCCACGTCTGCTCCTCAGACGCAGTTTCCAGATCAGCCTTGGCAGACTGCTGGCTCGTCCGGGCACAGCACAACCTTCGTGTCTCCCCAGACCTGGTTCCTGCTGCTGCTCATGCTCAGGGGCCCGCAGCAGGCCCTGTGGTGACCGTCCGAGCCCCTCTGTCCTGCTCTCTGCCTCAGGCCCCAGTCTGCTCGCTGGAACCTTCCACACCTCCCCTTCCCCAGCCCCACTGGCTCTCAGTGGTTCCTTCTCCTGGACTCTCCTGTCCATCAGCTGCCATCCCCCAAGCCAAGCCTGAAACAAAACAAAACAAAAGCAAATAAAAGACTCATCTCACTCCTGTCTTGGGACCCCATTGCCCCTCCTTCCCTTGAGGTAAGTCAGCTGGCTCCCTGTGCAAGGAAAAGGGACTCATCAGGGAGACTGTCCCAGGAGGGAGCCAGGGCTGCCAGCTGGGAAGAGAGCAGACCATCTCCACTCAGACCCTGCTCCTGCCTCAGGGACCATGCAGGCCTTCAGAGGAAGTGTGTCAGTCAGCACAGGCTGCATAACAAACATCAGAGCCCAGGCAGCTTCAACAGCAGGAATTTATCATCTCCCAGTCCTGGAGGCTGCAAGTCTAAGATCCAGGTGTGGGCAGGGCAGGTTTCCCCTGAGGCCTCTCTCCTGCCATGTAGATGCTGTCTTCCCTCTGTGTTCTCATGGGGTCATCACTCTTTGTGTGTCTGTGTCCTGATCTCCTCTTCTTCACAGGGACACTGGTCATTTGGGATTAGGGCCAACCTAGTGGCCTCATGTTAATCACCTCTGTAAAGATCTTATCTCCAAATGAGCCACATTCTGAGGCACTGGGAGTTAGGTCTCCAATATATAAATTTGGGGGAACACAATTCAACCTAAATTTGAAGTAAGACATTTCACTAGATGTCTACACTGCAAGGGAACAAGAGTTTCCCCAAAGTAGAGAAACACCATTCAAGAGGTTTGGAGGAGGGAGGACAGACTCCCCATGGAGGTGGACAAAAGTTCCCAGAGTGCAGGGTGACTGAGTTGGACTGGGGTGCATGACCCAGGCCATACTGTGGCCACCAGTATAGAGGGCTCTCAGACATGGAGGGTCTATGAGAGTGAGTCAGAAGCAGAAGAGGCCAGATGCCAGGCTGAGAGTCAAAGTTCAGGCCGGCAGTCCTCAGACCTCTGTTCCTAGAGCTGACTGCCAACACCTTCCTCACCTGTCCTCACAGCCCCACTCTCCCCAGTCTGAAGGGGCCCAAGTCCAGTGAAACTGCTCCCTGCTTCCCACAAGGCAGTCTGCCTGAGGTGTCCACACACCTTCAGCAGCTGGATCCTGGTGTCACCTTTTATGCTTAGCTGACCCAGGACATAGTGGCCTGGCAATGTGCCTTGAAGCAATGTTCCAGGGCATCCTTCCTGGCAGTGTGCCTGACAAAGTCCCTTGTGCAGCCAGCGTGGCCCCAGCCGCACAATGCACCCACTCCAGCCCCCAGACCCACAATAAGGTGGGAAAGCTCCTATCTGATGCATGTCCAGTACAGACCAAGTGGCATTTGGAGGGTTCAGTGCAAATTCTTTCCAATTCTGGCATTGCTTAAATACCCTGGATCCTTGTTGGCAGGTGGGCACAAGTGGACTCACATGCCTATTAACCCTGGGCTCTCACTG